CAAGCAGTTCTTTTGGAGTGTAGTGTACCTCCTCCTGGGTCACACTTGGTACTTCACCTTTCGGAGCTCACTGGGACATCAGTCTAGTTATAGGTCTAGAAGCCAAAATGGGTGGTGGCGATGTATTCTGAGAACATTCAGCAATGTCTTGTAAGGCATCTGCCTCAGGTGATGCCCCAGGCAATGACTTTGACACCTCCCCAGGCGATGATGCAGATGCTGCCTCAGGTGATATTTTATACAAAGGCTCTTCAGAGTCACCTGGGTTAATCTCATCAGATGGGGTGGAAGGGATAAAAAGATAGAGAGAAAGAGGGAGAAAGAGAGATTTATCTCCAAGAAATGGCTCATGCAGTTGTAGAGGCTGTAAGTCCCAAGTCTGTGGGTCAGGCATCAGGCTGGAGGCTTCTCCTGACTCACGTAGCTGCAGGGGCTGATGAACCTAAGATTGGCAGGTCAGACAGCAAGCTGCTGGGTCACAGGCTGCAGAGGCTGATGAATCCCAAGATTAGCAGGCAATATGGCAGGCTGCTGACTCTTGTCCCAAGAACTGGAGGTCTGATGATGATGAGCCAGATGCAGGATCCAGAGGCAGCAAGCTTTGCCAGAACAACCATACATGTTGGATGCAGGCCACACTCCCAAGGAAACTCCCTTTACAGCTGATTGGCTGATCACATAATGCAGGTGATTACATGTATCACAAAATGGAGGATAACTACATCATTACATAACCGACAAACTACATCATTACGTAACAGCCAAACCACTGAGAATCATTGCCCAGCTAAGCTGATACACGAACTTAACCATCAAGATCACTGAGTAGCATTTCATTGTATGCATGTAGCACATTTTACTTATCCATTCATCCATTGATGGGCACTTAGTTTGTTTCCATCTTTTTACTATTCTGAATAGTGCTGCAGTGAATATAGGTGTGCACATTAGGTCTCAAAGCTTTGCTCCTATATTTTCTTCCAAGAACTTTATGGTTTTAGATTTAACATTTAGGTCCTAGATCCATTTTGATTTAGTTTTTGTGTATGGCATGTGGCATGGAGCTTGTTTCATTTTTCTGCATGTGGAAATCCAGTTTTGCCAGCACCATTTATTGAAGAGACTCTTCCTTCCCCATTGAATGGATTTGTGTTCCCTGTCAAAAATCAATTGACCATAGATGTTTGGATTTACTTCTGGGTTTCCAATTCTATACCCTTGGTATGTGTGTCTATCATTAAACCAGTAACAGGCTGTTTTGATTACTGAAGCTGTGTAATATGTTTTCAAGTCAGGGAGTGTGAGGGCTCCTACTTTGTTCTTCAAAATTGCTTTGTCTATTCAGGGTCTCTCATCTTTCCACATAAAACTGAGGATTAGCTTTTCCATTTCCATTAAGAATGCTGTTGGAATTTTGACCCAGATTGTGTTGTATCTGTAGATTGCTTTGGGTAGTACTGACTTCTTGATTCTACCATGTCTTCCAATCCATGAGCACGGAATTTCTTTCCATCTCTTTAGGTCTTCTTTAGTCTCTTTCAGCAGTGTGTTATAGTTTTCCTCCCATTGTTTTTGTTAGCTGATGTGTAGGTATTATATATAAATATGTCTGGACGGATGCTATTTGAGATGATAATTGATATTTTTTTCTTTTGGTGTTTTTCCTTCTCTTTTTCTACCTCCCCTTCAAGAAGAGAGCAGGTACTGTGTTTCTCTGTCCAAGACTGAAAATAGCAGTTGCCTGCAAAACACATCCCTTTCCATCTTTTGTTATTTAAATCCAAATCCTAGAGAAAGAGGAGGGAGATCTGAGGGTGCTGGGGCAGCTGGGGCAGGGGGTCCTGGGGCAGCTGAGGCAGCGGCACCCCAGAGAGGGCGTGTGTATGCAGGTGGGAACATTTGCAGCCACACAAAGACTCCATGAGGGGGGAATTATCATCTCCAACTGACAGATGGAAAACTGAGGCATGGTGTACTTGTGCAATGTGATGAAACATGCCCACGACATCACTGAGGACAGTGCTGCTCCTCCATGGATTCTGGCCCTGGGTATCTATCCAGGGCTGGGGCCGTCATTTTCCCACTCCAGAATGATCTGCAGTTCAAGCTTCTCTTTTTGCTTCCTCCTCTCTATTGTTTATTTAAATTAAAGGGTGCAAAGAATAGGATGGATCACTTTGGATAGCTTATGTTTCATCTAAATGTTATGTGTGAGAGCCAAACAACAGGATTATATTCTCCGATTCACATTCATCTTGTGGTCAGTTGTGACCCCCAGATTCTTATTTTCAATATTTGCTCATGTTTGCCTTTTCTTTTCTATTTTTGTCTCCTTAGATGACCAACAAGTGACCTTCTATGGACTAAGTGTGGCCAGGATATACTTGATATTAGATAAACTGCAATGGATTTACAGTGAGAAAGAATTTTTTCCGTCTCCCACATCTTGAAACCAATTTTACTTAATTTCCACCTAATTTAGTGATGTTTTATTTCAATATTTTTTACTTGTCTACCTGAATGCTAGGCATCCATTCATTCCACAAATATCTTTTGAGCCCTTAGTCAGGGTAGGACATTTCTGTGTGCTGGGGACACAAATCCTCCACTAGACTAAGGCAAAGTCCCTGCCCTCTGAAGCACTCAGTTTAGGGCCCTGCACTAAATGAATGCTACAGGTTGATAGCAGTCAGGATAAAGTTAACATAGAATTATTTTGAACTTTACAGTGAGCAAAAATATATCTAAATACCTCCAACTCTCCCACTGCTATAAAAATGAGTGTATGTGATGGGAGGGTTATGGGAGAAGACAGCTGAAATGGAAAACAGTTTCAGGAGGACAGAAGGGTAGGTTCCTCCCATGGCTATTTTCTAGAAATAGGCTAATCTGCAGCTTCAAGGTATAAATTAGAAACCAAAACCAAACCCAATGCCATCAAGTCAGTTCTGAAGACAACCAGAAAAGGCAATGCAAGCTCAGTTAAGAATCATCATAAGTGGTAAAGTTGATGTTGTTATTGTTGTTAGTTGCTATTGAGTTGATTCTGACTCATGGCAACCCCATGTGCAGCATAGAACTGCTCCGTAGGGTTTTCAAGGCTGTTGCTAGGCCTGTCTTCTGAGGTGCTTCTGGGTGAGTTTGAACCACCAACCTTTTGGCTAGTAGTCAGTCATTTAACCATTTGTGCCACTCAGGGCTCCAAAGTTGAGGTTAAGATTTTAAAATTAGGCCTCAATTTAAATTCATTAAATATGCACAAGGAAATTATGCACAAGTGAAATAGAATATATTGTTTCGTGGTCTTGGAAAAAACATTTTCTTCTTCACTGTTCATGGGCAGCTTCTAGTTTAAAAGGAAAAAGTCATTTCTCTTTCTAACCAAAGAGGGCAAGACATAGTTTCTCTAACCTCATAGCATGTGTGCTTGTGTGATATGCGTTAAAAACCAAAAACCAAACCCTCTGCAGTCGAGTCGATTCCGACTCATAGCAACCCTATACGACAGAGCAGAGCTGTCCCATAGGGTTTCCAAGGAGCAGTTGGTGGATTCAAACCATGGGCCTTTTGGTTAGCAGCCATAGCTCTTAACCACTACACCACCAGGGTTTCCGTGGTATGCGTTAGAGTTCATTAAATATAAACTGATACATAAATGCTTGTCAGAGTCAGAAAACCTATATTAAGCACTTATCAGCTCACTGCTTATTTAAAAATACTCTAGTAGCCAGATTCGAAGTACTCCCACTAGCCTAAAAACTCCTCTATTATACTGGGACCTGGGTGTTCCCAACTGGTGCCAACTGAGCTGCTGTGAACTCAACTGAAGGCGGTGTCGAAGCTGTTGGTAGATGACAGTATGGTATACTGGTTCAACGCCTGCAAGGGCCTCAGAGGAGGAGACGAGTATGTAGTCCTTTAAGCAGAATGGGCCATACTGAGAAGTCCCCCGACCTTCCACTCTGGGCCATTTTTTGCGTAAAGGGGCGGGGATGTACACAGAGGTGTCCACGCGGCGTCGGCTGGCGTCTCCCCCTCCGGGATTCATCCGCTTCACCGACTGTCCCGCGGCCGTACTTTGTGTCCAGAGGCGCCGCACGAGGTCGTTAGCGCATTAGAAATGTTTGTCCGCTGGCCGAGGCCGCCCGAGCCCGGGCGGCAGAAAGCATCTTTCCTGGCCCTTCCCGCGGGTGCTATCAGGGGCTTGGTGCCGCGGTGGGCGCCGCCAACAGAGATCAACACTGGCCGGGTTGAACCTGGGGCCAGCGTCGGGAAGGGGCGCTGAGCCGGGCTGCAGGCAGACGGGGGCAGGGCTGGGGACAGACGGGGCAGGACGGGGGAAGGTAGACGGGGGCGAGGCTGAGGCTGACCGGGCGGAGCTGAGGCTGACGGGGGCGAAGCTGGGCGCAGACGAGGCGGAGCTGGGCGCAGACGGGGGCGGGGCGCTGAGAACTCCCGCCCCCGGCCGCCAGCAGCACCCCCTCCTCCCTTGCTCTCCCCGCCCCTGGGCCACAGCTTCGAAGCAGGCTGGAGCCGCCGGTCCCGCGCTCCCTGCGCCTCGGTTACACGCCCGCACCCGCAGGGACCGCTGCGAGCCGGGGAGGAGTCGCCGCAGCCAGTCCCTGGGAGAGTGGGGGGGCGGGCTCCGGCAGAGGGAGGCCTTGCTCTTAAAGGGACCGGGCCGCTCTCGCGTTCGTGTGGCGGCGCCGTCGGACCCCGGCCTCCGGGCGACCCTTGCACACGCCTCGCCCAGCCGTCGGCTGGTAGGGTGGGTCTTCAGCTCCGCTCCCGAGGGGGGCCGCAGGTGAGTGCGGCCGGGACCCCACCAGCCCGCCGGAGCCGGACCCTCGGCGTCCGGTAGTAGTCACGACGTCCGGCTTTGAGTTCGGCCGCGGCGTTTGGGGAGGGGGCAGACGGAGACTCGAGTACAGGACGCTCCGGGAACTGGACGTCCGGGAGCCGCGCCGCCTGGGGCAGCGGCATTCGGGCGGCCGAACCCGATGTCTGTCCGGCCGTCTGCCCCGGGGTATGGCCCTGAACCCCGGGACTGCCACACCGCGGGCGCTGCACGTGCGCCCCGTTCTGTCGTTGTGCCAAAAGTCAGTCCCGACCCCAGCCCCACTGCCCCTTTCCCTCGCCCGGGAGCGTTGAGGCGGGAGCATCACGCCGTCTCAGGGGGAATTCGGCACCGCCCAGGCAGGAGGGGCGCGCGGGCCGGACTGGTACCCCATTTCCGAAGGCGGTGGGACACTGGCGGGGAAGTGTTGCGCACAGAAGGGAGGGATGGGAGAGCCGTGCGAGGAGCCCCGGGCACCGTGTGCTCCCCCGGTCTCCGGTTCCTGTGTACGTTCCCCGGCCCCCGGGTGCGCCCCTGTTTCCTTGCGTACGTCTCCAGACCCTAGGCTCCGTGTGCGTCCCCCGATCCCTGGGTGCGCCTGCGGCCTCCGGCCCCGTCGGCGCCCGCCGTCTCACCTGGCAGTCCCCCGCCGGCCCGCTGCATTGACGTAGGAGCGCGACAGCCAGCGGGCTCTGCATTGGCTGCAAAGGCGATTGTCGCGGCTCGGCTGGGTTGCGCTTGGGCTGTGTCTTGCGGGACCGCGGAGGAAGCTGGCGTGCTGTTGAGTCTTTGACCCTCACCGTGGGATAAACAGGAAGCAAGGAGCACCCGGCCCAGTCCTTGCACTTTTCTTTGTTTGGGTCCCGCCCTGGACAGCGGAGCTGCTTTTGCTTGGTATCCGGGCAGTCGTCTGCAACGTCTGCGGCTGGGGAGGCTGCTTCCGTAAGTACAATGTGCGAGACAGGGAGCTCTGTCCTGCCTAATGTGGTATGGTGGCGGAAAGGGCATTTGCTCGTTTTTAAACTTTTTTCTTTTTAATTGGAAAAGGAGGAGGCTTTCTTATGAGGCAGAGCTTTTGCATGGGGAGAGGTTTTCGGAGGATGAAAGGAACGTGTGCTGGGGGCAGGGCGGGGACGCGTGGAGAAGGCACGCTTCGGCGTCGTCCTGTCTCCCGGGTTACCGAACAGGGCACCTCGCGGAGGGATGGCCGGGTGAGGGCGGCGAGAAAGTCGTTAAAGCAAGCAGGTTACCCAGCCTTTGCGATGATTGCGGAGTGGCATTGACACATAAACTAGCTTAACTTTTGTTTTCCCCAAAGAGTCTTTTAATAGCTAGAATTGGATAATTTTGATTTTGCTCTTTTTCTCGTCCTGTGTTCTGTCTAGTCCTTTCTCTTTCTCTCCTCTTTCTAATTATTTTTGGCATCTTCCCATTCCTGGACCCTTCACTTATGGCTGAGTGCTCCTGTTTAAAGGCTAGCTGCGATTTTGGTAAATATTTATCAGTGACCTACTATGTGCTAGGCATTGTGGGATGCAGATGAGATTATCAGGTTACCTAAAGCCGAGATGAGTAGAGATGTGAGCAGTGTTGGCTCTGATATATGGCCGTGGCTGTCATGGAGGCTGGCTCATTCCTCCAGGGTAGTGCTGGGGACTTTCTTTAAAATGGCCTTTTCCACTAGTGGGCTATGGGAGGGACAATGTTCTCCAGTCCTGCCTCTCCCATCTGTAGGCCTGAGGTCTGCATGACAGTCTGCCCCAGGAGACTCTGGCCTGGAGTCCTGGTCTGCACTTCCTGTAAGAGCACTTTGTCTTTTCTAGTCTTCACATGGACCTCACCGTTATCCTGGAAATCTGCCTGCGTACTCTGCACATTTCTCTTGGAATATATTCTTTGTGTTCAGTAAAGATTATAATGTCAAATTTGAGTCATTACATAGATAAACAAGTAACTCTAAATATTTCCCATGGGCATTTATTGAATTATAATATTTGGCTTCCTATCAGCCCTTGAAATGTCATTTGATGGCCCTTGCAAGGCAGTGCTTTTTAAAACATGAGAGTAAATTCTTTGTGATCTTTGAAACCTTAATTCTTTTAAGAGCTTCACTTTGCTATTGACATTGAGCACACTGTTAGGAATTAAGGCCAAGACGGTAAATGCCAGTAAGGGATTTGCTATAACGGAATTGTAGCTATCTTCCTCCCTTGTTTTAAAAGACCTCTCTAATTTCTTAACATTTTGCTATTACTCTTGGAAGAACGTGCCGTTGTTGGCCATGGTTCTTGTTTGTGTAGGTTTGTATTTATGTTGGAGAAGACTGTTCCCAGCAGGTTTTCAGGGCTGTCTCTGGAATTCTCTCTGGGGCTTGGTTTGCATGACCACAATCCTGCAGTGGAACCCAGCCAATGCCAGCTGCTTATTAAAGGGTTTTGTGCCAATTTGTTGGCACATCATTTGTGATGCAGCAGTCCTCTCCCCACCCCCACCAGACTATATACATACATAGACAAATATTTATTTTCCCCAACTGCTGACAGTGTTCTAAGAATAGTTTTCTTGCTTGGCGTGTTGAGAGCAAGGACCCGTCTGCAGCAGTGTTTACAATTTCTGACCTAGCTGCAGTCTTGGTTGACTTAGCAGCAGCCTGGCAGAGCTACCCTTGCAGCTAGTGGGACGCTGTCTGGTTTTTTATCTGACTGAACCACTGAAGGGTGACTTCCCAGCCTGGAGAGGAAACGTAGAACAAGTGGTGAGAGTGACTTTGCTTCCTGTGGGTCATTTCTGGTGGGTTGTCCTGAGCCCTTGTCTTGATCCCTTTGCATTACCAAGCATGCAGCTGTGGTCAGTGTTGAGGAGGTGATTGCTGTGTGCCATCATGTAAAACCGAACAACCTCAGGGCTCAGGGCAGGCAGGGTGATCTGTAATTGTAGACTGGACTTCTGGAGAGCCCTTGCCCTGTTTCTTCTCATCTTTCTTCTGAAATGAGGCTTTATTGAGTGTCTATGATGTTTCTATCCTTTTGGGAGACAGTTAATAGAGAAGAATGAACACTCAAGAAGGGATACTGTGAAAGAAGGGCATTCCATTTTTAATCTGGAAAATTTTTAGAAAAATTTCACGTAATTTATATATAAAACCAAACCAAACCCCTTGCCATCGAGTTGATTCTGAGTCATAGCGACCCTGTAGGACAGAGTACAGCTGCCCCATAGGGTTTCCAAGGAGCGGCTGGTGGATTCAAACTGCTGACCTTTAGTTAGCAGCTGAGCTCTTAACTACTGTGTGGATATTAAATGTGAACAGTGGCAAAATTGCTGTGTAGTTCTAGGTTACTCCTCCCTCCCTCCCTTCCTTCCTTTTCTGGTCTCAGAAAAATCTTTTGGAAGCCACTATTTTCTGATGTCTAAAATCAGAGTGACTTTCTGCCTACATGGGCTCTGTTAGTCTAGAATTACATCTTGACCTATATTATGGGTGTGCATGGTTGAATCTTAAGTTTTAAAATAGGATTTAAAGGTTCTGCATACTATTTGAAAATTTAGGCCACCAGACCTGCCTCGTTTTAGGGAGATTTTTTTTTTGTGGCATTGTTCACTTCATTGTCAGGCGACTGAAGGAAACAAGCAAGCACCTGCACTATTAATTGCCATAAAAGTATAGGGTTCATAGTTCCAATTAGTATTATTTTTTACTCTAGCACAGGAGGACTTGAAAATAATGTTTGTGTTGTCACGTATTCATGTTATTTGAGTATGGATTGCTTTTCTTTGGATTCCCACTAAAAATGGGGGTTTGGCCTTTTAAGCTGGTTTTGTGAGGACTTTTCTTTCCACCAAGCTTGTTTTCCAGAGAGGTCTTGGAAATTACCAAGAACATAGCTATAATTTCTCCCTTGATTGGCAGCTGAGAGCTTTCCTGGACAAAAATAAGGCTGTACTGTGCCAAATGGTTGACTTTTCTAGAATAAAAACTCTAAAGGGTATGCAGAAAGTCCTCTGGTTAATATATTGGCATTCCCAGAACCCACTAAAGCCCCGGCAGCCGGCCAGACACCACTTAATGAGGATGCAGAGTGTCTGGCACAAATCCCCCGAGAGCAGAAGAGGGTGGGGATCGGCAGGCCCATACCCTTTATTAATTTTTAATGACTATAGTTTTGTTTTGCAGATTTTGCTCTGTACCCCCTCCCCACTGACCCCTGCAATGCCACCCCCATTCATTTATTTACTCATTTACTTTGCAGTGAAAAAGTGTTGAGACTTTCAAGGTTAAGAATCCTGCTGAGGGATCATTTCTGTTTGCAGGGGCTCTTTTTTTGTTGTTGCTTTTCTTTTTTCTTTTTGTTTTTATCTTTTCTTTTTTTTGAAGAGGAAGATAGAAAAGGAAATAACTTTTTTTATGATGCTTTATTGTCTGCTGGAAAAAGAAAAGTGTTTAAGAAACTTCCAAGTTTATCAGACGGTTTATATGACAGTGCAAGTTGGTTCTTGCCAAGCTCCAGACAGATTGTTAATGTTACATGACAGGGATAAATAAATGACTGCTGTCTGCAACACGCTTGCACTGCACACGCCACTTCAGCCTGTGGGCTGCTGCTGAGGGGGTGGGCCCTGTTGTATATGCAGCTGCACTACTGCCTCCCTCTCGTTGCCTGGAATTCGATGACTTGATTCGGAAATGAAAAGGGTGTGTCTCTCGCTTTTATTTTTGGCTGTGCTGCAGGCCGTAGAAGGCACACAGCAGCTTTGTATTCTTATTTTGTTGGGCTGCCCCTGCTTCTCACCCCTTTCCCCCTCTGTCATTCACGCCCACATTCTTCTCCCCTCCTATTCCATACTAGGTGATACAGCACCTATTCTGCTTCCCAGGAGACCTATTTTGGATGAAACTAAACTTTGTTCCTGGCTGCTCAGGGGCTAGGGTTTCTGGAAGCTATATTTCCAGCTGTTTACTGTTGTGCTCTTTCTGCAGGTGCGGACACAGAGAACAAATTGTCTGAGATAAGTGTGTGCACCCGGGAGGTGGCTGGGCACTCTTTGGCCCAAGGTACTTTCATCTCTGGCACTTTGGAGGCTCAGTGGTCACAGTGACAGGTGCAGTGAACTAAATGGCCTTACTTTAGTTGTTGGTGGACACGTTGCTCATGTTTCAGAGCCACCTTCTAAGCACGCATGGCAGAGGGACTTGCTCTTCTTCCTGCAGGCAGGATCCAGGACCTGGGCATCAGAGTGATATGAGCTCTGGGAGTAAGCAGTCTAAACAGGTTGGTTTGTGATCATCTGCCTGGACACTGGGTGGACCTGGCCTTTCTCTTCAGAGTAAGGCTGCTCCATCCCATCTCATGCCTGTATGCAGGTGTGGCCAGGATCTTTGTGGTGGCAGCTGAGCGTCCCTCCCATGTGGTGTGCATTGCTTGCGGTGTGTGTGGCAACAGGGCTGCAGCCCTGCACAGTCAGGCCAGGAATCCCCCTAGTAAAATCTCACTTTCCCACAGTAAGTGGTAGAGAGCCTGCAAACGGCCACTAGGCTCTTTCTGAGTGGTTCCAGGAGCCGTGGGTGGCGGTAACCTCTGGCTGCATCCACCTCAACCCAAGCACGCAATTCCAAACGCTTCACAGACTTCCTGTGCACCAGGCTCTGTTGTTAGTGCATAAATGAGCTCATTTCATCCTCACAGCAACCCTATAACATAGGTGCTGCTGCTACCCCCATTTTACAGATGCAGAAACTGAAGTAAGGAGAAGCGAAGAAATTTCCCAGAGTTCCACAGCTGTGAGTCAGTAGTGGCTTCCAGGCCCAGCCCAGGCAATCAGTGTCTTCAGGGACTGCTCACCAGCTGGGGGAAGTCTGAGGGTGGCATTCCTCTTCCAGTCCCTGGCACAGGCCCCACCCAGCCAGCAAGCTTCAGTGCTCCTTCCCCTGCTTTCCTTACACT